CAGGGAATTTGCTGCCTGAAAATTCCCTAATTCTGTCCTGTGGGATTGGAAGGTGGAAGGGGAAGGAGATCCCTCAGAGGGGCTGATGGACCTGCCTGAGCTCTTCAGAAACCTTCCCAGAGTCTGGATTTTACTGCTGATAGTGGAAAACTGGGGCAGCTGGTCATATCCCAGCGTGATTCCCTGCATTTCCACACCGGAATATTCCTGTCCTGCCACTTAATCGTGTTGGCTTTAATAACAGCTGCATATAAATGTCCAACCTGATAAATTCATGGACATCTACAAGGCTGTGGGAGCTCAAGGAGAGCTTGGACAATGCTCTCAGGGACATGGTGGGATTCTGGGAATGTCCTGGGCAGGGCCAGGAATTGTAGGACTGGGTGATCCCGGTGGGTCCTTCCTACACAGGACATTCCATAATTCCATGATTTTATACTATTTGTCTATTCAGATAATTTAGATAGCTTTATATTTAATATATAACTACAGGTAATTACATATAATTATATTGCTATATATAATTATATAATATATATTTTATATATTTATATATATAACACGGTTTTTTAATTTATATATTTGTATATTTCGATATTTTACATATATTTAGATTGAATATGTAATTATATATAATTACATATAGTTATATATCGTTGCATAATATATATTTATATGTATTTATATATTTAAAATGTTTTTTTAAATGTATGTATTTGTATATTTCGATATTTTAGATATATTTAGATTTAACGTGGTCTCTTCAGCTGTGGCTTCTCAGGTGGCGACACCGCGAGGGCTTTCCCTTTTTTTTTTTTCTCCATCCCAGGGAAGCGATTCCAGAGCTTTTCCTGATCCTGCTGTGTTGGTCTCTGCAGGAGAAGGAAGGGAGGAGGGGGGAGCCCGGACCTGAGCCGAAGGGCAGCCGAGAGGAGAAGGAGAGCGGCACGTGGACCCCACCAGCTCCGGAGGGACAAATCCCCGGCGGCAAGTATCTCCAGCCTAGAATTGCATCGGCTGGCTCCGTGTCGTGGGCTCCCAGGAATATCTGAGCTGCAAGTTTTCACTTAGGGAAGTGCTCCTGATTGTTAAATCATGGAATTATGGAATGTCCTGGAGTGGGAAGGACCCATCGGGATCATCCAGTCCGGCAACTCCTGGCCCTGCCCAGGACATTCCCAGAATCCCACCATGTCCCTGAGAGCGTTGTCCAAGCTCTCCTTGAGCTCCCACAGCCTTGTAGATGTCCATGAATTTATCAGGTTGGACATTTATATGCAGCTGTTATTAAAGCCAACACGATTAAGTGGCAGGACAGGAATATTCCGGTGTGGAAATGCAGGGAATCACGCTGGGATATGACCAGCTGCCCCAGTTTTCCACTATCAGCAGTAAAATCCAGACTCTGGGAAGGTTTCTGAAGAGCTCAGGCAGGTCCATCAGCCCCTCTGAGGGATCTCCTTCCCCTTCCACCTTCCAATCCCACAGGACAGAATTAGGGAATTTTCAGGCAGCAAATTCCCTG